TGTGTGTGTGTGTGTGTGTGTGTGTGTGTGTGTGCACGCGTGCATGCATGGAAGAATTAAATCATGTTTAGCATCCCTAAATCTTACTGAGGGGTTCTTTGTAAACAGCCTACTCACACTGAGAGCACATTGTGGAAAAAGAACAAGGGAGCCAGCAGTCTCGGGTCTCAGATTCAAACCTATTCTCTCCGTTACCTCTAACTTGCTGTTGACCGTCGGTAAGTCTTGGAGCCAAAGCAGGAACTATGGTGAGCTGAATGTGTGCTCAGGATGTAGAAGCTTAGGAGACACATGCCACCCTCTCATCCAAGAGCTGCTCCCTGTGCCTTATCGGAACAGGAAGAGGTCATTGCAGACACATCAAAGATCCTTCCAGTGCCTGCCTATCATGATGTCACTGAGTTTCCAAAATTGCTAAGTGACATAGATAGGAATGAGACCCTCAGAACAGCACACACTGGTTATCTATAGACCTGTCGGACCCACACACAGTCTAGCTGTTAGCTGGTGATTTATTAGGTACAGTTCACCTCCTGGGAGCCGAGCCTGTCCCTAGGACGTGTCCCTGGCATCTTTGGTCTGGCAGTTGACAACATTGTCTGCTGAACTTCTGACTTGCTAGATTTGGTCAGGACATAATGTCTGAAAATATCTTTTCTTCTCCTGCCACACCATTGAAAGAAATGTAACGACATGTTTTATTAATTATATATAGAGAAATGATATATTTATATATAATTCACTTATATATGCTATTTAAATATATAATTTCTTTATATATACTTTATATATAGAGAGAGAGTTGAGTAATTTTGCTCTGTCACCCCGTGATGATTCGCTGAACACAGAGAGATGGATGCCTGACTCCCCCAGCTTATCTGGTAGAGGCTGGGAACCCACAGCTCAGAGCGCCAGCAGCAGGAGTTCTGACCACAGGAAATCAGCAATGCAGTCTTGGCATATCTGAAATCAGCCCAAGCACAGCTGACTTGGAGGAAACCTAGTATGTGAATCACCCATTGTATGGAACAGGTGGAAATGTAAGGGCATTGATTTGGATAACAGAAGGGAGCCTGACTCACAGAAAGCTGGGTCCCCTTAAGCAATGCAAATGCCACTGGGGTGAGGTTGTCATTTTGGAGGAGGAGGGGGTGTCTGAAAAACAGTTTAGAGCACCACCAAGGTTTAGAGTACCAAAGTCAACTGGCAAAGGCTGAGAGGGAGAATCAATCATCTCTGGGCCTACAAGCATAAGTCAGTGAGAAAGCTGGATTCTTTTCTTCCCCCTGTGACTTTGATTTACCTTCAACTTGGTGGGGACCGGTTAGCTCTGTAAAGGGAATGACAGGGCCAATTTCATAAGCTTATAGGTTCTTATGCTCTCCCCAGGCAGGATAGTGAGGCATGGCTAGTTAGCCCAGCCCAGTTCTTAGAGGACAGTTCACACTACCCTGCAACACATGACATGCGGCCATACTTCAGGGGAACCAAATAGCCCAGCAGCCTTGGCAACAGGGATCACAAAGGAAGCCTGGGAGAAAGGGCCATCATACAAGCACTGCTGCTTATTAGGTCAGCAGCCACTCGGCTTCTTGGAGATGGGCTGCTCCTCCATGCAAGGCCCATGGTCACAACATGTAAGGCAGGTGATGGCTGCAAGGATGCAAAGAGACAACGTAGATGGGAATTTCACAAAGTGCACCCACAGTGGAATTAAATGATACGTTTACTTTGATGCCAAGTTTTCCGAGAGCCATGCATATATGTTCAACATGTTTATGGAAAACATGAAAAAATAATGCATGGATTTCAAAAATTTTGTTTGCATCCCACCAAATTACCTTTTCATCTCATTTTCCCATGAACCTTTTGGAGTACACCTGATGCAGAAGCTGCAGTGCTGGGCACAGTAACTGCGCTTATTGCAGCTGTTTTTATCCCAATCCCCTGCAGTGGTGCGGAGGCCTGGGGAAGCTTCACCCAGGTCATGCTTTTCCCCTTACTCTCTTTTCAGGTGTCCTGGAGAGCAGAGGGTGTTGGCTCTTTTCTTTATTTACTATTACTCCATATTCCATGCGCCACACCCCTCCCAACAACACATATAAAACTGATTTGGAAGCGGGCAAACTTTAGTTTTCCTACCCTGGCATAAATTGATTTCTTCGTACTGCTAGGAGTTCCCTCAACCCCTAAATTCTCACTCATTGGGGCAAGTCAACCTAAGTCACTAATGGAAAGATGTTTAATGATATTTCCATCCTCAGGAAGAAGGGAATAGGTTCATAGTCCTGCTAGGATCTGACCTCCACAAACGTTCCTTCAGTTAATTTGGAGAGCCTCTCACAAGATAACTTTGGGTCTGTCTTTGTGTCCTGTTTCTATTTCATGTTGCCTAAAGTTAGAAAGCAAGCAAAAATATCCCGTTTTATTATCTTAATTTGCAATCTATGCAAGGTGGCATGCTTAAAAATGACCTTTCCGGGGAGGGCAGTGGGTTTATAGTATCTTTTTTCTGTCTCCTTGAAAAATTTAATATGTGATGGCTTCACTCACTTCCTATTCTTTCATTGCCAAGATTGAGGACGGCGCCTAAGTTGTGATCACGGAGAAGTGGGAGAAAATGTCAATGTGGAGGTGACACTGGGAAGTTAGGGTAGGGAGTGGAAGGTGGGAGGGGCACTATTCCAATGGAGATGTCAGCTCCAGCCAATGTCAGAACGGCTCCCCATGAAGATGGATGGCCCCAAAGCAGTGTGCCTCTGCTGGAAATTAAAAACCCAAGGAATAACTGATTATGATTAATTTTTAGTACTTAGTCATGTGAAGCCAAATGAGAGCGTCTGTAAAACAAAGCTATTGATCTGGCTTTGTTTGGAATTGAGAAGCTAAACTAATCAAGTGCCGTGGGCTCCTTGTCACAGTGGAGCATGGAAACTTTGTCAGAATTCTTTTTGACATGGATTTTTAAAAACCAACTTTGAAATTCCTGGTGTCTAGATACCAGCATACCTAAATAAAATATGTATATATATATTTTTTATTCCAAACATCTGCCCATTCTGTCCTGGGGGCGAGGACACGACTGGGAGAAAGTGAGGTTAGAGTCCTCCAGGGTCGTGCAGGAGTTATTCCCTTTTAAACTTGGGGAAGCAGACCCACAGAGAATGGGCAGCTCGAGTGGAGCCTGCTGCATCTGGGTCCCCACACGCAGGTGCACCTGCCCCTTCTGCTCTGTCCTCCCTCCCACACTGCCCTCCTGCAGGCGACATACCACCACTCCCAGACGGAGCACAGACACGGGCTGACAGGTCATCACAGCTTCCTTGGTGGCAGCTGCTGACTTCCGTTTCCTGGTCTCTTCCCAAGGAATTTCCTCATCTTTCTCATTCACTCAGCAAGGTGATCTGCTTCTGGCAGCCCTTTCTACAAAGCCTTTTTTTTTTTTTCAGGAAGGGAAATTCCTACCTTCCCTTCCCAGCCTACTTAAAGAGAAGTCCTGGGTTCCTAAGTCTGGGTTAGCATCCTCTCTTAGAGACACACATTGCTTGTTGACTCTGGGGTCAGGGTTTGGGTGGGAAAAGATCATTGATCTTAGGGATGACAACCTTGTGCCCCAGCCGTGGTGCCTGCCTTCTCCATCCCGGGGTTTCACGGCTTTCATGTGATCTTTAGCTGCTTGCAAGCATCTGCAACCTTTCTGATTTCCTGTGAGTCCTCTCGGAATCACCTTTCTTTCTAACAATGTGCAGAGGCTCCTCCACCCTCCCCGGCGCCACAACCCCACTACCAGTGCCTTGTGGGGCTGGTGAGAAGGGAGCTGGAGGTAAAACCTTTTCCTGCCTCTTCTGTGTACAAAGAGACATTTTATCTTATTCATTCACTTACTTTTGTGGCATTCATTCATTCTGCTGGGATCTGACACAGGTGACCTGTGACTGTGGAAATTTTTCTTATTTTCAAAGGGATGCTGAAGACATCCCACTGTCTTCTAATTCACGGGCTAGCACCATATCATAGGAATTATTTTTAGAACCAAGCAATCACAGAATTGGGAAAGGTGAAGTCACTCCCAAGAAAGGGGTCCTTCCTGTTACAAATGAGAAAACTAAGGCTGCCAGTCTCACTGAGACTCTCCCAAGGTCACACGGCTAATTAAAGCTGGAATCACTGCCCCACATGGCTGCTACAATGGGACAGCTCAAAGCACAGCTGTCGGCAGAAATGGCCAGGATGTTTTCTCACCCTATTCAACTTTAGTGCGAAGGACCCCCAAATGACTTTCCACCCAGAAATCAGGTTTCCTTAGTTAAGACCCCCCTGGAAAATCTAGGACACAGTCAAATGTTTCTTTTTTAGGCAAAGTGTACAGGGTGGGAATATGGGGACATGGGCATCTGCTCTCATCTTGTCCCTTCTGGTGCTTTAAGGGTACTGCTTAAAGTTTGAATTGAAACCTGAGATTATAGGAACAGTGGCAATGACTGGACTTAACCAGACTGTTTCATATCTTCCCCCTGGTCCTATAGCAAGGTTTGGCTCTAATTCTGGGTGAATGTAACTGACCCCCTGAGGCTAATGCCCCCTGTTGCCAACCCCAGACTTATAACCTGCCTCTTCTCTGCCCACAATCAAACAGGCGCTCCCCAAAGATGCTGGCAGGTACTGGGGGACCAATGTAGCCCATCTGTCTCACCCAGCAACACACACCGTGGGAACATAGTGTGTGTAGTCAGGGGAGAGAGAAACGGCTCAATTGAGACTTAATTAGCAGGAACCCCAGTTGGTGGGAGGTGAGAAATCATACTTTGCTGCCTGGGAACACTTTGGCCAAGGTGAGCCGGAGAAATCTCCCGCTTCCCGATTTTAATAGCACTGCAGCAACAGAGTCAGAGAGGCACAGCCACACGGACGCCCCCCTTTGCACCCACGTTCCCCCTGTCTCCTCCCCACATGGGCACACACAAGGCAGCAATTGCAAAAAAAAAAAAAAATTCACTCACAGGATCTCCAAATCGCGCAGCGCCCGGAAGGCTCCATCTTCAATGCAGCTGATGTGATTGTTGTCCAGTTGCCTGTGGAAAAGCAAGGGAGAGCGTGAAGGCTGAGCAGGGGACGGCACCGAGGGGCTGGGTGGCCCTGGGGCCGGGCAGCGCTGGGCAGCCCCGGCCACCGCAAGCCTGTCCCTCCACCCCCTTGCTGGCTCTGCTCGTCCCCGCCAGGAGCTCGTGCAGAGCCAGGCTGTCTGCCACGCTGCTCTGTCTCTGCTCTCTGACTGTCTGCAAGAACTACACAGACGAGCACACCAAAGCCTGTCAGGTCTCAGTAAATATTAATTGCGCATTTTTTTTTTTTAGGTAGAAGGGAGTAATTTCATTACATTAGGGCATCCAATCCATTACGAGCTCTTACCGTCATGTCACTGAAACAATTTCATTAAGCTAAAGGCCTGTAAATCATTGGAGGTCACGGCTCTGCCCTCCACGACCTCCCAGAATGCTTCTTTCCTCTCTCCCCCGTCTCCCGTTTACTGGAAGTTGCAGTGCCCGGCTCTGACACAGGGCCAGATCTCAAGGCTTTATCTGCCTGAGAGCGCCGAGGGTGCATGGGGAATATACCAATTCCAAATTAGACGCAACTAATCTAATTTTATAGTCTTTTTATTATTCTAAGCACCAAATGTCTGTGGTGGTTTGATGTCTCCATGCACTGTGAGGGGGCCCATCTGGTAGGTCATTGTATCGAAGCATTTTCTGACTAAATACAGATTCCCTCAAACTGCACCGACCATCATCCACATTAAAGAAATTCATTCATGGGCGCGTTCGTGATGGGGCAGGAAAAGGAGTAATGCTATTGCCTTAAAGATGTACCGCTTCCATTTAAATTGGGGAGGATTAAATGCACCTATTTTAAGATATATACATATATTTTAGTATTTATCTTTGCATTCTGTGACATGACAAATCCCATCTTTTGGAAGGATACCCCAGCTGATGTGCATTCTAGGTTGGGATAGAAGTGTTTCAGTTGAGAGCTAACAGACACCATTCTCTCTAAATCAAGACACGGGTTGCATAAGAAGAGAGATTTTCTGTGACCACACCCGACTGAAACATCTTATGTGTTGTCCATTTGATTCATCGAAAAATCACAAAAGATGTTACTGAAAATGGGTATTACTACCAGATTACAGAGTGTAACACAGTCCCTCAGTGTAAGGGCCAGGACAAAGGGGTGGTTATCCTGAAAATTCCTTTATAGATTTGTTTTTCCTTTTGTCTCAGACAAAATGCACCCTGTCTCCAGTGGAGGGGTTTCCTATGGCTAGAATTTTCATTTGTATCCCATATCCATCTACTCCAAGTAACTCCCCACAAGAGATACACTAAAGCCACATTTGGTAACCATCACAGGGGGCTTTACTTTTTGCTGAAGGCAGGCAGAATTAAAACACGCATATCATCACCAAGAGAGTGTATCGGTGAAGGTTGGTCTAAATGTGCAACGAGAACGGAGCTGAGGGTCCCGATGGACAGGCTGTGCCACGGTTTTGTGGGGGAAGGCCCCACCACAGGACATGCTCGCAACACCCGATGGCAACATCAAGAATGGAGAGAAAGGAGAGACAAGACTATCTCAGCCACAGAAGCACAGCCTAGGTTGCCCAATGTGTGGAATCGCCCCAATTCTCCCAAGCATCTTCCCTAACTCTTCCAGATGCTTTCTTAACGTGAAACCTGCTGGGTACCACTTTGCACGGATTTCCCTAAAACTCTTGGGGCCACTGAAACCCTGCAAAGGTTCTATTGGGCCAGCTCAGTTCAGCTGCCCAGCTTCTAGATTTATCATCTGTGTAAAGGTTGATGATCAACAGCCCCTGCCCCACGCCAAGGCCACCAAACCTTACCCAGCAGAAATGTAATGCAATTGGCTTTGGGCTCCAAGAAATCGTTCAACAAACATGCTGAATTCGGCAAAACGGGCACCACCACCCGCCCAAGTAGAAAAGTATCTACATCATCAAACTGGGAAGTCTGGCGTGGTTCTGGGTGGGCAACAGGCCGCGGGGCATCTGCTTTGGGGCAGACGCTTCCAAGGGGGTCCTCGACTCTCAGTATGTTATTTATTTGCTGGATTTGTAAAGCATTTTTTTCCATTCCCATCCCCTGTCTGAGAGCACCGGAACCTAAGTAGCAAATGCTAACTATACAGAATTTTACATGAAAGGGACAGAGTCTGTCAGAGCAAGAGGAAGGTATAGAAAGAGAAAGCATGAAGTGGTGGGAAGAGAATAAAGAGGGAAGGAAAAAGGTAAATGATTTTTTTTTAAATTCACTTCTCCAAGTCCTATTAGTCCTGCAACCCAGGACCCCGCAGTGGCATGGGCAGTGAGAGAGAGGCTCCTCATCACTGTAAATCTAAAACGCTGCGATGTCTAATCTGTGATCAATTACGTGATGTTTAAATATTTTCAGCGACGGGCTCAAGTTCACATTTACTTGTTTATTTGTAATGGGGAAAATCGAGTTGCCACAGAAGCATTCTGCGGCTGTTTGAGAGCCAGTCTTCAAACACGTGAAACCTATCAAACACGTAAGATATTTACTTGTGCTCTTCTACAACAAGGCTGTCCTGAGATTGTCTCCTTTCACTCTAACCAAAGATAAAACAAACGGAAACACTCGCCCTGTCTTTACAGTCCAAGAGCCATTCTGAAGCCAAGCTTTTTCTTGGAAGTCTCCAGGGATGTGCTGCCCATGTGGGGCTCAGGCAGACAAGCAGACACCACCCTGAAGGTATCCTGTTCCCAATCCTTCTGTCTGTAAGATGCTGATCATCACAATAGCCACAAAAAGCCCGACCAATGTTCCACCATCATCGCCGTATTTCCTACAAATATGCAAGGTCCTAAAAACCAAGTAAATATGTACTTGAGTCAGGCAAGTTCCCCCACCCCCAACTTTTTTTTTTTTCCTCCAAAATCACAGCTCAGAGACATGAACATCACAAAGCATAAGAAAGGGGAGGCAAAACAAATAGCAAGTTCAGCCTTTCTTTGAGGGTGTTTGGAGTGAGTGCTATTAAACACACAGACGACCTTCCCGAGCCGCTGCGGCCGAGGCAGTGGACTTCGCAAGTTTGCTGCTGGGGGCTGGTGTGACTGCAGGGTACCGACGTGTATTCTACACTCTCAGGTCAAAGGTCCTGGTCGTACCTTTGAAAGGATTCCTTCAAAGACCCTCTCAAAATCAAATCAAAGAAGGTCCATCACCTACACTGCCCCAAGTACAGGGCCCTCAGGAGGCTTCTGCAAATAAAGAACTTCAGAAAAGCAAGAAGAACTCGGCAGTCTGAGGACTCCTGAGAGCTCTCTTTCTAACTTTCCTTGACAATAACAGGTGCAGGAGGGCACTTCCCAAAGTTCACGGTAAATGCAACTAAAAGATGTGTTATTTGGGGGCAAAAAGTTTGCATGTATGATGTTTGCAAAATATGGATTTTTCCCCCTATGAACTCTGTGAAGACCTCTTGCAGTTCCCATTGCTGCTGAATCCTTTGTTTTGGCCACACCAAAGGCCAATGTCTAGTACCTATCACAATTCCAAGGATTTCTTTTGGTTGTGGAGGGAATTCACCTGCTGTTGGAGTGTCCAGGCTGAACTCAGACCGGAGAAAGCCCTAAGCTCTCGGCCCCGCTGGCAATAAGAATGACGATGGCTGAACCCCGCAGCTAGACTCTAGGAGGGTTATGCACAAACCATGCTCCCCAACTTTCTAAGATGCACCCTGCTATGGCCGGGAACCTTCTGGTTGTAGAACTGGAACCAAATATGGCTTCCCTGGACCCAGAGTGAGACATTGAGGTAAGAGAAAGTCACCTTTTACTGGTGGCAACTGATATTGTCTTCTAGTTTATACAGAATCCTCAGATATGATTCATACTGTCCTGCTTCTGAAATAAGCTGAGAAGCCCCCAAAACTTTTTGCGGCATCAAATTAGCTGCTCTCCCGTTTGCCTGAGAAGCTCAGATTTCAGCAAACAGCGAGTCCTTTTAGAAAGGAGTGTTGAATGCCGACTCCCGAGAGGAGCTTTCTGACTCCTGTGTGTTCATTCTTCAAGAACACAAACAAATCAGAAAGGAAAGCCAGCGTGAGGGTAGGACTGAACATCCCTGCCACCAGCAGCACTTCCGTAAGAATTCCTGTATGTCAGCATAATAAACTCTTGTGATTCATCCCTTTGGATGGTAACTTCAAATTTCCTAAATGGAAAGTGGAGCAGGATAGAAATACTCTCATGGTTCAAAAATGTACAGCAGTATTATACCTCAATCCTTTTCAAGTGATTTTTTTAGAAAATATCATTTGAAACGCTATATCATCAGCAATCTATTCCCCAAATAAAAGCAACCAAACTGAAAAAAAAAATAACAATAAACCACCACCACCACCAATAGCAAAATTCAGGATGTCTATGATGGAGCTGTAAGACGAGTACCTGGACAGTAAAAATCTGTAGAAACGGGTTTTGGATGTCAGGAAGAAAACTGGGATCCTTAGCTAATTATCTACATGCAGGCTTTGCCGGCTCATCCAGATGTTCTGGGTGCTTCAGCATCTGATGGGACGGATGGTGAAATGTAGCCTCAGGCCACTGTCATTCTGGGGTCCTAAATCCAGCGGCAGTAGCAGCAGCAGTAGCAGCAGCAGTAGCAGCAGCGGCTCACTCTCTGAGAGCAGCTAGAGCGGCTGCCGCCTTCCACCCACAGAACACGGGCAGTGGCTATGGCACAGCCCGCTCCAAAGTTACACACTTTGCTGGTTTCTGAACAAAACTGGCGACACAAAATGTGCAAAGTAAGTGGATGACTCCTGCATGTAGTTTACAAAAGAAATATTAGCAGAAATCCAGAGCAAGTCTATGGGCACAGACTCCAACAATGAGGATTGTGGGGCGTGCATATCGCATAAGGAAAATGGAATCAAATTTAAGTTATCTGGTACAAAACATTTTGAAATCTGTGCCTATCCAAAAGGTGATGCAACATTTGCATTCTGAAAAAAAAAGCAA